TGATGCACTCCTGGGGCATATTTACTGTCTGTGATGAACTCCTAGCTCTGACATGCTGTAGAACATACGGGGTGGAGACGCTGCCCCATCTTGACTGGGTGTTTACCTGCATTCCTGAGGTGAGAGCGGACTCCTGCCAGGGAGTCTGGATGTTTGGGGCTTGTCTGCAGGAGCACCCACATTCTCGCGGCCTGGCACCCTGCCCCCAGCTCCTCGCTAGTCGCTCTGTCTCCCAGCCCCAGCGGGACATGTCTGGATGTGCCAGGCTGTTTGGTACAGGGGGCACAGGCCTCAGGAACGCAAACTGAGAGCTGGGGGGCAGTGCTGAGGGCACAGGAGTAATGTCTTCCCGATAATCACAGGGTGTGTGCTTGAGTGTTTCACCCGTGTATGGGTTTTTCCCAGAGCACATGCTGACCTGAGAGGGAGAATATGTGTGTGAGCGCGCGTGTGCATTAGTCTGTTTGAGTGTGTGTAAATGTGCATTAGTGTGTTGATGTGTGTGCATTAGTGTGTTTATGAGTGTATGAGTGTGCATTAGTGTGTTTATAAGAGTGTGTGCATGTGTTTGACTGTGTGTGAGTGTGCATTAGTGTGTTTATAAGAGTGTGTGTATTAATGAGTGTGAGTGTGCATTAGTGTGTTTATAAGAATGTGTGTGTGTGCATAAGTGTGTTGATGTGTGCATTAGTGTGTGTGAGTATGCATTAGTGTATTTGTGAGAGTGTGTGTATAAGATGCCCACAGTGGGCTACAGGTTATAACCTAGTCCTAATTCATTGTTTATGTGTCTTGATTTTGCTGTGGTGAAGTGTCTGAGAGCTGATTACAGAGAAGATTACATCTTCTGTTCTCCAGTGCTGTGCTCCAATCTCGTGCTCTTGGTCAGAAATGAAATGTATTTTCCCTTAAAACACCCCTATTCCTGCTGGCTGCTGGGAGCTCCATTACCCAGATCCTGCACCCAGGACTCCCCAGATGACAAAGCCGATGAAAAAGCAGGTGTGAGCTGAAGAGGTTTATTAGGAAAGCGCCTCCTGTCCCTCTCAGCCGGGGGGCGCTACAGTGCACACAGCTCTGACACACGCCTGAGGATTGTCAGTGAAGTTCAAGTGACCACGACTGAGCTAGTCCCGGTGTCTCCAGACTGCGGTGGGCAGGCCGATCAGGGCGGAGTCACTCCCGCTGTTTCCAGCACTGGGATTTCATTCTCACTCTGATCGGGATTAGCCCGGAGCTGCTGATTCCGGTGCTGCGGACGGACTCTGGAGAGACTCAGGGTGGGCTTTCCCTGGGGTGTCCACCTGGCAGTGCCCCTTCAAGTTACACACGATCCTCTCCGCAGCCGCGCCCAAATGGCAACACGACCTGGAGGCCGTGGAGCACGATGTGTACTGGGGACACCGGCCCAGTTCCCAGTCCCGCGGAGGGAGGGGGTGAACACGGTTTACACTCCGCACCTGCGCCAGTCCGCTGCGGGCTTCACATGACCTTTCACCTTTGACCTTCCTGCAGGCGGAAGAGAAGACCCGGGCCGGATCCGGACCTATATCTGCGACTCCAGCGCCCAGGAGGGGCTGAGCTC